ATTTTGACTTTCAAAAATACTATACAATTACCTTCACTTTTGACCTCCAAAATGTGTATCATCCGACTAAAAATCAAATTGAAAGTGCAAAGAGACTTTCCCAGAAGTATCCTCTTTACATACAAATGATTACTAAATAATTGCTTGACATGAAGTTCCTTCCAGTTATTCGAATGGCATATCCATCCTTTGAAGAACGTCCAACCGTGTCTATTTTAAGTGACATGTCTGGTAAAGAGGACGTCATAGAAGAAGTGATGAAGAAATGTGAGTGTACTCGTCTTGACATCTCTCCGCCTGGTGATGGTGAAAAACTTGGGTTATACAGTCCTCAGGTAATTGCCACATTTGACTTTTAAGAGAGTGAAGAAATAGAGGAAGTTGTGATAAGTTATCTTGACTGCAAAAGTGTTGTTCTGCCTCGAAAGTGTCGAGCTTTTGACATCTTCAATTGCGAAAGAAAAGTCTCTGCAGAGCAGTGTAAACCGGAGGAAGTGTATATCAATATGTTTCGTGGTGAAAGCATCACTATTAATGAAGACAACTCGAAGAGAGTGGACATAAACTCGGATATCAATAAATGTGATTTTGTGTAATGGAAAGAGTGGTATACCAATCGTCGATTTCATGAAATTAGAGTACGTTGATATTACTAGTGATGGCAATACTGATATTGTTTTGATATGCGGAGACACTCTAATTTCTAAAATCCGTGTTGGCGGTCTTAAATTGGATCACAAGAAACTGGATGTCATTAATAGTAAAAATGATGTTATATTAAATGGAATAAGTTTGGAGGAAGTCAGATTATCGAATTGGACAAAAGCAAATCCGTTTTCGGCGACTGTTGGAGATGTCAAGAAAGTAAGTGTGTGTGGAGGTTTATTGAAAGTACTGCAAATTGAAAAATGCGACGAAATTAAAGTATGTTCTGCCGTTACTATCAAATTACCTAAGAAAACAAATCAAAAAGCAAATCTTATTAAAGAAAATAAAAGCATAGTAATGAAAATAGAAATAACGGATAAATAACTTATTGGTTGATTTAAGTTATTTTAAATTGTATTTTTTTATTAATAATAATAATATCAATAGTGTGATTATCATTTATTTTTCATTACGAAAAGGTTTTGTTAAAAACGAAAAAATTTAATTTGTATTTTTTACAAATTACAAAAAACTAAGAATTATAAAAAGAACTCGTTTTAATATCAACAATCATATTGTTCAAACGATACAAATTAACCACTTCTCATATTTTTAACAAGTAATGAGTTTTTTAAATAAAATATCCAACTAGGGTTATGAATGTTTTTAAAATTATTTGATATTAATAAATTACATTTATTAAATTAATAAATAGAGTTGACAAACAGATTTAATTGACAATTGAAAGATTAGTTGGTATATATTTAGTTTGTTAGATGTTTGTTCATTGAACATTATTGTTTTGTGATATCGTTTGATATATACAATTGAATGTTTTTTATTTATTTCTTTGAATTTAAGAAAATTTTTATAATATATCATTGTTTGTGTTAATTTTTATGTTGTCAATATGCTCGCAGAATCCAAATGTTACACCAAAAAATAAATTAATGAACTTGATTATAGGGTTTTTGAAAATGACTCTATTTGTAAAAATTGTAAAATAAATTAATTTTTAAACCATAAAATTATAATAAAATTACTTATAATATAGCGTTTGTTCGTGATTAAATGTATTTTTGGAAATAATATTTTTTTTGATAGTGAATTAATAATAAAAATATAAATTATTATATAGTTTTAAAAACAAAGCAGACACGAAAATAATAGAAAACTTTTCTTAACAACAAAGAACGCCCTTCGGCCTATTTTCCCGTACTTATGGCTATTAACTCACCTCTCACTTTTAAAACTCACTTGTCAAATAATGACTCACTACTTCGCTTTTTGACTCACTTTTATAAAAGTAACTCACTTAAAAAATAATTTACTATTTTAATGGTTTTTTAAATAATAAAATAAATTTTCTTCAAAATAATAAAATATAGTTTTAATTTAAATTACTATATAAGTATCCACTCAATCAAAAACTTGACCATTTGGGCAAATTTGCCATTAATCAAAATAATTTATTTTTGGATTGTGATGAAAAAACAAAAATAAATAACAAAATAAATAACATTTTGACTTACTTAAATTATTTTTGTTATTGAATTAAAGTTTTCATAAATGAAAAAAATATAAAAAATCGATTAATCGATTTAAAAAAAATACTCTTTGCGTTCAATAATTATATCGTTGTCAACACGAAAGATATTGCCATACAAATTCAACAAAGTGAATGTGTTGTTACACATTTGAATTTATTATATTACAATTTTAAAATTTGTATCATTTTTGTTTTGAACAGTCAATAAAAAATTAAATAAATAATAAATGAGTTATTTAACCAAAGATATTTGAATTAAACGAACAATATTTTAAAGTAAAAACATTGAATAATATAAAACCAAAATGATAAAAATGTTTTTCGTCATCAAGAACAATTACATACGTTTGTCATAACCCAAACAACTGGTTTAATTGTTTATTAATTACAACAATACATACAATAAAACTACGAATAACAAAGACACATTATCAATAAAGTACACTTTAACTACAAACACAACTTAATATATAAAAATTTAATCATGTAAAATGTTAAGATGTCGGAATAATAACTTATTAGAGTATATGATAAACACAACATTAAACAGCTGAGTAATGTTTATAACCAAAATATCATGTAAATTTTAACAACAACACAAACAATGAAAATAATTAATTAGGTTGTATTGATTAATTTCTATGATGAAATTATTTTAATTACGTTAATTGTTAAAAATGTGATTTAAAAAATGAAGTCGATTAACATATTTATAGTTTTACACATTTAAAGTTGTCTCTAAGTTGTATACCTTTTAATTAATTGGAAAAACAAAGTTAGTGCATTACAAAACCTTTGAATGTGTAAATAAAAATAAACATTTGTGTTATTTTTTTATTGATATTTTTTGATAAAATATTAAGAGATAAATAATTTAATTTCTGATTGGAGCTTATGTTTAATAATTGTGACATTTCGTTTGTTCAATGAAAATCTTTAAGATTTTGTCTTAGTATATTACTTTTTTTTAATCAAGTCATTGCATCGTTATTCACAAATATAATACAGCAACTTATGTTAACAATTATAGACAAGTGTTATTTATTGTTTTATTTTTACTTAATTATCATAATATTTTTTTTTCATCTCACAACACACAAAATGAAACCATTGTATTTCTTTAACATCACAACAATTATCAAAGTAAAATAAAAACAAATTTAATTATTACTTGTTGACGATTTTATAAAAAAGATTCATAAAAAATTACTGTTTATTTTCACACTTTTATGAAAAATATAATACAATTTAAATAAAACATTAAAACTTTTAAACATGTAACTTCATACTAACAACGAAAATGGTTCCACTAAATTAAATAATATGTATTTGTTTATGCATAATAAAATTTTGGATTAAAATTTAAACAGATATATATATTAAATATATTAAATTTGTTGCCCAATAGTTTATAACAAAAATGTACAACAACTCAAAATGATTTAATTTGAATTGATAAATGTAAATTTTGTCAAATTTTTAATATTGTTGTTTTGGATACTATTTGCACCAAATAAATTTTTTCTTTACCATTTATTTTATTTTCTTTTTTCGAGTATTATAAATATAGTTAATTATGGTTTATTTTTTAAATAAATTTTACAAACTTTATATAGTTGTTGAACTATGGATATACTAAACATAGTTTTTTTTGATGAGTATAGTTTTTTTATAGTAAAACGACGAATATTTAATTTTAAATAGTTAAAGTGAGTTACTTTATGCCAAGGTAAGTTAATAGCCATTAGTCACCATACCCAATCTTTCTCTTTATTTCAAAATAATAACAATTTATTACAATTCATTAATAATGTTAAATTGTTAAAAAAAACAACTATTTTTTTAAACACATGAAAATAATAATTTAACTAAATTTTATAATTAAATATACTATAAACATGATATTTTTTAGACTTTTAATTCGATAAATAATTAACTCAAAAACAAAATAAAACATGAAAAGGTTTTGTTGGTTTGAGTATATCCTGTTTTTTGTAACTTGTGTATACTCTTTAGAGAATACATGTGAATGTGTTCCCAAAAATACACAAGAACTATATGGCTTTGTTTCTTTATACAATACATCTTGTACTCCTTCAGAGAATGTTTATTGTTTCAATAATTCTTTTACATTTAACGGAAGTAACATATATAATACCATTGCTGTAAATGGTACGTTAACTTTTTTCAACACAATAATGATATTTACCAATACCATCCATTTTGCTTTAAACGAAAATTCAACAGTCAATTTTAAGTCATCTTTTCATGTAAATAACTTCACGATTTTATACAAAAACTCAACTGCAAAAATCAATAGACCATTTTCTATTGCAGGAAATATTTCAATTGAATATCCGAAGATCGATTCTCCACCACTTGTTTTATGGGATTCATATTATCTCCATTTAAATTACAATTATCATGGAAGACCCAATTTTTCAATAATTAATCCAACAGGCAACTGTGATTGTTTTGATGTCATCTCAATGTCAACTGCAAGTTCTTTAAATATCGATTCATTACCAAATCACATTAGATCAAACGATTTTCCGTTTTCTATGAACGACGGAAAAGCCCTTTTAATATCCAATAAAAAACTTATTCGATTTTGTCCTACAAATACATTATCCAATAACAGAGTGAAGTGCGTTTTAAAGGAAAATGTGTATGTTCAGAATTATTTACAAGGAAGTCCTATGTATGGATTTGAATATCCACACTGTCCCTGTGACGACTCGTTGACCGATTGCCATTTGTATTTAGCTGATAATTTTATGCAATTTGATTTTAACAACACAGAGATGTATTACACCAATTTACATGTAGAAAAGAATACAATAATTACAAATGCAAAAATAATCAGAACAGTGATAATGAGTGATAATGTTGTTCTGTATTTTAATGGAAATTATTCACAATCAAAACTTTCATTTACGGTTGGAGACGTCGTTGTTCTTGATAATAATTGCATGCAAAGCACTTTCCAATACAATTCAACAAATAATGAATTACTTTACACAAATATCAATATAAGTGACATTGTACTTATAGATGAAATAAGTTATATTAAAATTAATGGCTCTGGTATTATTAATAATATTATAATGTCAACTGACAAAGTTATTTATATCACAAAAGAGGTGAAAGAAGTTAAAAATATAACTAATTTTTATACTTCAAATAAATTAACAACTGTTGTTATGATAATTGAAAGTGAAAACACTTTGATACGATTTTTAACAAATTGTGTGTTAATAAAAACGACTGCAACGACCATGGAATGTTTAAAATGCAATTCAAAACGTCGTCTCAGAAATCAAAAATGTGTTGAAATTGATCCAAATTGTCAGATATATGATGCAAATAACGAATGCTCATTGTGTAAAACTGGATATGTTTTAAGTCAATATTTAGCTTGTTTAATATCAACAAATAGTTGTTTGATAGGAACAAGTGAAATGTGTTATAAATGTGATTCCAATACAGTTGCACTGAATGGAATATGTCTTTCTGTTACAGAATGTGAATACTCCGATGGCAAATCGTGTCTAAAATGTAATAAAGGTGATTATTCGACAATGTGCAAATCTTGTGAATCAAATTGTGAATTGTGTGAGAGTGGAAAGTGTACACTTTGTATGCAAAATTATTTATTAACTAAAGACAACAAATGTGAAATCAACAACATTTCATATTCTCAAGGAAACCACATTATATCGTGTATAGATGGGTATTACATTGACAATTCAATATGCAAAAAGTGTTCCTTTAAAAATGAAAATTCTACAAAATGCAACAAAAAGTATGAACTAAAATGTGAAACTAATTACCGTCTTTCTGATGATGGAAATTGTGAAACAACAATTTGTGATGAAAATGAAGTAAAAGACGAAAATGGGAATTGCAGTTCCATAGTGGAAAGTTGTTTGAAAATAAAAAATGAAATTTGTGTTGAATGTGAAGAGTCTTATTTTCTAAATATGGATGGGGAGTGTGTATCTACAAAAGACGAAGAAATTAAAAATTGTAAAGTGATGAACAACAGAGGCTGTTTAACATGTGATATTGGATATTACACGGATAGTCAAATTTGTTTTAATTGTAATGAAAATTGTACCTCGTGTATTACAACATCGTCGCAGTGTATTTCATGCAAAGACGGATTTTATTTAGGAGAGAACAAAAAGTGTATTTCAAACAAAGAGTTGTTTGTAAAATGTGAAAAGCTCTCCACAGTCTCGAGTGGGTGTTATCAATGCAAAAATGGGTATTATCGATCCGGTCTTGACTGTATAGAATGTCTATCTAATTGCTCCACTTGTAACACAAAATCAAAGTGTTTGACTTGCAATTCCACTAACTATAAAACACAAGATGGAAATTGTTTACCACAAAGTTCTTTGATAGGGTGTCAAGTTGAAGTGACCCAAAATGGATGTTCAAAGTGTCAAGGTGGATATTATTTAATCAACACAAATGAGTGTGCAGAGTGTGATTTAACATGTAAGACATGTAGTGTATTGAACAAATGTATTTCGTGTTCAAATAAAAATATTTTAAATAATAATGGACAATGTATTGCAATGAATAAAGTCGACAGATGTGTTGAAGTGGCAAATTCAAAATGTTCAAAATGTTCGTTCTGGTATGTCCCAAGTGAAAGTGGCACCTTTTGCAATACAAAAGCAGTGTGGTGGGTGATTATTCTAATAGTTTTGTTTTTATTAATTATTATAGTTATGTGTATAGTATCCATCGTCTTTATTTTTAATTCTATACAAAGAACTATACACAAAAAAGAAATACAAAAATCCACCACAGTATTTACAATGTCCAAATCAAATATTCAATTTATTTCAATTGGTGATGGTGTTGTGGTGAATAAGACGGAAATTATTTTTGGTAATGGAGAAGAGGTGGACGTCAATGAAAAACAGCGCGAATTGTTGTGTGTAGGCAACACTACTCAACACAACATGAAAATTCAAATTTCAACAAAAACAAATCAAAGTGACAAAATTGAATTTACTTCAAATCCACAAATTGTGTTTTTGAGAAAAGGAGAAGCCTGTGAATTTGAAATTGAAGTGACTGTTCTTTGCACTTTGAAATTTCAAAGTTCTTTTCTTCTTGTTGCAAATTTGTTTGAAAAAGAAAAAGCGATTTGCAAGGAAATTGGGATTTCTGCTGTTTCAAAATTGTCGACGCGACTTGACTCAGACGAGTTAATAGAAGAAAAGAAAATAGGAGAGGGCTCTTTTGGTGTTGTGTACAAAGGAACTTTCAGAGGGAATGTTGTTGTTATTAAAAAGATGAAAAGTTCTGAAGAAAATTCACTTGATGAATTTAATAAAGAAGTTTCAATGTTAGACAAATTCAGGTGTGAGTATATCGTTCACTTTTATGGTGCCGTGTTTGTACCAAACAAGATGTGTATAGTCACCGAATTTGCACAATTTGGGTCGTTTTTTGATGTGATGAACAACAAAAATTCAAACGAAGTTGACATGAAAATTCGAATCAAAATGATGATAGACGCATCAAAAGGTATTTTGTATTTACACTCAAACGGGATATTACACAGAGACATTAAACCAGACAACATTCTTGTGTTTTCATTTGATTTGAATGAAACAGTGAACGCGAAATTAACGGACTTTGGATCATCAAGAAATATCAATATGATGCTGACCAACATGACTTTCACAAAAGGTATTGGAACACCAACGTACATGGCACCTGAGATATTGAAAAAGGAGAAATACAAGAAGAGTGCTGATATATTCTCACTTGGCGTGACCATGTTTGAGTGTTTTAGTTGGAAAGAAGCATATCCAAAAGAAGACTTCAAATACCCATGGAAAATAGCCGAGTTTGTGATGTCTGGAAAACGACTTGTAAACAGTCATCACATTCCAAACAACATTTTTGCAATAATCACGTCTTGTTGGTGTCAAAATTCAATTGACAGAATTACATCTGAAGAAGTTGTATTGAAATTAGAGAAGGTTGTATAAAACAAATATAATTAAATTCATTTTATAACATTTCGTATTACTATTATAAGATAATGATAGAACATTAATTCTTTATAGGTTATATGGC